TCTAATATAAGATAATTTTAATTTTGTGGGTTAGTCTCTATGTCCTGTATTCTGTACCATTGGTCTACCAGTCTGTTTTGGTGCCAATACCATGCTGTTTTTGTTACTATTGCTCTTCAGTATAGTTTAAGGATCTCTTTTCTGTTCCATTTATTTATATCTCTATCTCTGCAAATAATACAAAGCCTTGACTACTGTAGCTTCATGCTAATTCTTAAAATCAGGTAGACTGTTTCTTTAACAACACACTTTTTTTTTTTTTACAAAATTATGTTAGCTATTTTACTTTAGTCCTTCCATTTTAGAACAGTCTTATCAGTGTCTATATAAACCTTTCTGGGAAGTTTCATAGGCATTGAGTTAAACCTGTAGATGAATTTGAAGAGAATTTACATCTTTACCAAGTTAATTTTTTTAATCTATGAACACAGTGTATCTCTCCATTTCTTTAGACATTTTTTGATATCATTCATCAAAGTTTTATAGTTTTCAATATACAAATCCAGTACATATTTTGTTAGTTTCAGAAACTAGGTATGAAAGTCGTATTATATTATAATTATCTGATTCCACATGTTCACTAGTTCTATATAGAAACATAAATAAGTTTTATATTGACATTACATCCTGTGAATTTGCTGAGTTAATTTATTAGTTATTGCATTGCCTAGAAATCCCAGGATTACTTTGAGTAAGACTGATGAGCTAGGACATCTTTAGCTTGTTCTTGATCTTATGGCAGAAAGCATTTAGTCTTTCACCATTAAATATATTATTAACCAGAGCTTGGGTTGTAGCTCAGTGGTAGAGAGCTTGCCTAGCATGTGTACACTAAGTTTGATTCTCAGCATGGCATATAAATAAATAAATAAAATAAAGGTCCATCAACAACTACAACTAAAAAGTATATTTAAAAAATAAAATAAGCTATATCTATTTATCCTTTCAGTTATACCAGTTTTTCCTTCATGTATGTTGCAGACCTGTTGTTTGTGTATACCCATTTAGGATTGTTACATTCCCTAGATTGATTAACTATTTTATCATTATATAATGTCCCTCTCTGTCACTGGCAATTTTTTGTCCAAAAGTACACTTTTTCAGATTTTAACATAACCATTGTTGCTTCCTTTTATTAATGTTTGTATGCTATAACTTTCAATACTGATGCATTTGATATGATTATATTATTATTCTTGAAATAAGTTTCTAGTAAATAACATATAGTTGGGTCATTTTAAAAATCAACTTTGCCAGTATTTATCTTCAAATTGGTATATTCACCAGATTTACATTGAAAGTAATATTGATATGTTATGGCCTAAGACTGTCATTTATTTTTTTTGGTTTTCTTTGTGTCTCTGTTTTCAGTTCTCTAATTTATTTTTAATGACTTCCTTTGGGATTCTTGAACATTTTTTTACATATCATTTTGATTCACTTTGAGGTAACTCTTATATTTATTTGAGTTGTTGCTTTAGATCTTATATGTGCACAACAACACAGTCTATTTTTATCATCATTACACCTCTTCAAGGGAAGTATACAAGCCATATCTTTCTTTTTGTTCCTTTACTCTCCCTTTTTTGTAATATAATTGTCTCAAATACTTTCTCTACATACATTTAGCACCATACCAGATAAAATTAGAACCACATCAGACAGGGCTACCTTTAATGATAAAGCATTATAAAATTCAAGAAAAGAAGGAAAGCCTGTTATATTACTTATATTTTTGTTTACCCTGTTCTGTTTCCTTCCTAATATTCCAAGAGTGTTGCCTCCCCCATCACTCACCCTCCTCCGCCTCTCCCCGCCCCTTCCTCCAGGAAAAGTTTATTTGGTGCTCATGATTTCAGAGGTCTCAGTTCATAGCTGGCCAATTCTATACATAGCTCTGGGCCTGAGATGAGGAAAAACCTCATGGCAGAAAGGCAAGGTGGAGGAAAGCAGCTCAGGATATAACAACTAGGAAGCAGAGAGAACTCCAAGGTTGCTTCTTTTATGATTTTCTTTCTGCTTAGAGAACTTCCTTTAGTCATTCTTTTAAATTAGTAGTGACAAATTTGCTTAGTTTTCCTTTCTCTGAATGTGGCTTGATTTCCCCTTCATTCCTGAATAATATTTTTAGCTGACCATAGAATTCTGGGTTGACAATTTTTTTCCTTCAGCACTTGAAAAATTTTGTGCCACTACCTTCTGAATTGAATGGTTTCTGATAAGAAATTAATAATATTTTGAGCACTTTTCCCCCTATATGGAAAAATATTGTTTTCTTCTCTGGCTTTTTTAAAGATATATTCTTTGTCTTTAGTCTTCAGAAGTTTAATTATGATATGTCTTGATTTGATTTTCTTTGGGTTCTACTATTTGGAATTTGCTTGACTTCCTCAATTTGTGAGCTTGTGTCTTTCTTTAAACATGGGAAGTTTTCACACACACACACCCCAGGGATTGAACTCAGGAGCACTTGACCTCTGAGCCACATCCCGAGTCCCTATTTTTTATTTTATTTAGAGACAGGGTCTCACTGTTTTGTTGCTGAGGCTGGCTTTGAACCTGCGATCCTTCTGCCTCAGCCTCCTGAGCCACTGGGATTACAGGTATGTGCCACTCTTTCAGCCCTATCCTTTTCTCTCCTCTCCCTCTGTGACTTCAATGATACCAATGTTAAATATATTGTTATCTTTCTACATGTCCCTGAGTTCTGTTTGTTTTTTTGCCCTGTTTTATCCTTGTTGTTCATCTTGGACCATTTCTGTTGCATCTGTCCTCTCCATAATTCTTTCCTCTAAGATCTCCATTTTATTTTTAAGCTCATTCCCCTAAAGTTATTTCACTTATATCTGTCAGTTCTAAATTTTTTATTTATCATTCTTAATGCTTTATATTTCTTTTCTGAGACTATTTTGTTTCTATTGCTCATAATTGCTCATAAAGCATTTTTGTCATAACAGTTTCAAATTCATTGTCAGATGATTTTAACATCTCTGTTATTAAATCTGACATCTACTGATTGTATTTCTTCACTTTAAAATCTTACTGGTTCTTGGTAGTTGAGAACTGAATTTTTTAATATTTTTATGAGATTTTGTTTCCTTATTGGGTCTCTATTGCCAACTGATGTTTTCAGGGAGGAGTGTTTCCTCTTAACTGCTAGCAGAGCACTGGGAGTACTAGCTTTGCAGGTAGTCTCCACTGATGGCACAGTGGAGGTGACCTTTTCACTGCTGAGTAATAGCAAAAGTCCTGAGTCTCCACTAGACCTCATCTAACAACACTCTAGCATAAAGGTAGAGAAATATTTTGTGCTGCCAGGTCGGGTGGAAGTTCAGGCTTCCCATGTAGTCTCCATTTGCACTAGAGAGGGAAAAACTTCTTGCTGACCAGTAGGGATGAAAGTGTTGGTTCCCTACTTGGTCTTCTCTAACACTAGAAGGGTTGGGTAATCTCATTACAAGATCACAAGTGGGTAAATCTGGGTATCTCTTTCAACCTTACATATATGGGTGAAACCATAGACATTTTTTTCTGTAGTATTTGTGGAGAGTAGGAGGATTCTTTTCTCAAAATTTTCTGTGTTGCTAAATAAAATGCCTCTTTGCCAGTGCTTTAGCTTTTGATGTATAACCAGAATGTAAGGAAAGCTTTTGTTGGGGCTGATATTTTTCTGTGCCTATTATCATTCCCAAGTCACTTGTTTCTTCAACTCTGGGATACATGAGTCCAGAAGAAGAAAAGGGACTCATCATCATGTCCTTTCTAAAGCTCTGAGGTCCCTAGCTGGTCTGCTGACTTCTCTCTACATTTCAGAGTCTACTTATATTTGCTTTATATATTATGTGCAGCACTTTTAGCTTAAAAGGAATAGGTAAAAATATATTTCCTCCATCTTCCTGGAAGAGACTTTAATTTTTAACAATGGGAGACTCAGAGAAATCATAAAACAAAATCTCAAGTTTGATGTTTGAGTTTTTCATTGTTTTTGTTTTATTAAGATGTTTTTATAATGGAAAGTAACATTTTGATGGTTTGGCAATTTGATAGATTTCCTAATATTTCTCTACATGCTCTTTAATGTCATAGCTTTTAATGTCTGAATTAAATTACAATTGTGACCAATTTTATTTCAAATCTTGTTTAGTTGTTTCAAAAATAATGTAAATAGACCATTATAAATTGCAGAGAATATAAGAATTGTCTTCACATAATATATTTTGTAGTGAATTAAACTAAACTTGATTTTTCAGGGCCTCTTTTTGATGCTTTAGTGATAAATACATATAAGTATGTTTAAAAATGCAAAGTGTCTGATTTTCTTCACTTTTCTCTGTTTATCATTTCTGTGTATATCACATATCATTTCATTCAACTGTTATTCATATTCAGGAAACATTTGATATCCATTCTTGATTACAAGCAACAGTCCTAACTTTCAAAATGTTGTTTAACTTTCCTTGTCTTTCATAATGAACATATGGCTTTGCTTAGGACTAGCTGGAGTTTCACATTAAGTATGTCTTGAATGTGTATGGACATGTCTGGTATCTGCCAAGGTAACTAATTTCTGTTGCCCACGGTCATTTGTTTTTCCATGTACAGATTTTCCAGCTGCTGGTTTCCAGCTTTTAGTGATGTTCCATTTTTGCCAACAAAGAAATTACCCCTTGTTTAAGTAGACATTCTGTCCACTGACATAGAAATGGGGTGAGAAGTTAGGTCTGTCACCTCATAGATTAAATATCCCTTCAGATTTAAGAAATTTAACTAGCATTTACCAACACCTGTGTTATAAATGACATACCAGCACCCAGTTGGGACATGAGTCCCAAAACCCTACGTGTACAACAGCTACTCTAAGCAGGTTAACACTGCCGTATAACCTTCTTGGATGTTTTCTGGGAAGCATAGCATGAAGAAAAGTACACACACACACACACACACACACACAGTTGTTTTACTAAGGCATTTTATTTTTAACACTATCCCAATTTCTCTCTCAACACCAACTTTCACAAGTGAAAATGGAAAGTTGGAACATAGTAAAAATAATTGCTATCACTAAGATAATGTATACTATTCAAACACTTTTGTAAGCATTTTATATATGTTCTTACTTAATTCTCCTAACAACCTATGTAGTAGAGATTATTATTATAACTATGTTACAGATGAAGAAACTCAGATATGGAGATGCTGAATCATGTGTCCAAATTCATACAGTAAGCAAATGGTGGGACTAAGATTCCAACCCAGGCAATCTTACTGCAGAGTTTCTTCTCCGTGCTCATCCAAATAAAGACCTCTCCTGCACTTCCTGAAACAGACACATTGAGAAAAGCTCAACAAACAAAGCCAAACAACTTGGGACTAAAAATCAGAAATAAAGTTAAACAAAAATGAAAGGAATAGAGTATACATCAATTGGAAACAGTCTTTTGTGTACACAGACTAAGCATACTGCCGATGCCTATAGAGGGGATAAACCTTCCCAAATAGAAACTGTATCATTAGCAAGTCATCTAGTGGCTTAAAGCTTGAATTTCTGAGAAAATGTAAATCAATCCTATGAGAGATAACCCAGCAAAATTTCCCCCTTAGTTACGTCTTACTGCACATCCACTTATTAGATTCTTTACAGAAAGTCCATCTTGATAGTAGAACAAGAGAATGTGGAGAGTATGAGATCACCGTGAACCTGAAAGTAAAGGCTGGACTGAGCCCCAACTGTGCTGTTTTTACAAGTTGGCCAATAGCCCATGCTGCAAAAAGTGAAGAGATAGAACCTAGTGCATTACAGTTCAGCCGTGAACATCAATCTTTGTTAAAGCAGAGTTTTGGCAAGGAATAAAATAATATGAGGCTAATGAAGGATGTTGAGAAAGATTCAGACATATGCTAGGTCAATTGTCTTTATAGAAACGGTACAAAGTCTCACCTACAGCTGCCCCAAAACCCAAGAGGAAAGGAAATAAATCCATAGCTATAAAAAGAGAGTGAAGTGAGGGCAAGATGTGTAACCAGATTGTAAGTATTTCAGGGGAGTGTGTTTTCTACATTATTCTATCCTTTTTCTTTCTTTTAGCAAAAGAAAAGATGGGTCTATATGTGGAAAAAAGAAAAAAAATTCAGGTTAACTGCCAGGTCACTTACTTGTTCCCCAAAATTCAGGCCAGCAGTTTTTCAGGAAGGATACCCTAGCCTCATTTGTATCAACATCCTTAGTTTAGCACATGAATAGTTACTACAGCTGGAAGGCATTAGTGTTGTCCAAGTCAACAATTTTCCATAAGCCAGAAAGAAAAGAATTTTCAGTGTTTGTTGTGACACATGAAAATTGGAGTCTTAAATCCTGCTTAGAATTAAAGTGACTTAAGATGAGAGGAAATGAGAAGGGGGGAAATTGTTGAAGTGTTATAACAAGGGCAATCATTGCTGGGCTATTTTGGAAACAGAACCAAGCAAAGAACCACTTCAGATTCACAGTAATATACTGCAAAGGGATGTTAGAAAGGCTGTGGCTTTTAAATTAGACCTAAAAGTTTGGTTTTGTTCAGAGAGTACATATTTCATTAGATCTTTGACTTCATTGCTGCCTGCTTTTCTGCTCAGATGCTCACATGCAACAGCACTGCAATTACTCCAGCCAGGGCAAGCCCACTGCTACATTATGGAAGTCAGCCAAATTTGATGTCAGCACTCCCTATTCTCCTCTCTAAGTTCTTTTTCTTCATTTTCACTCTACTTCATTTTCCCTTTCCTTTACTCTACTAGGGCTGAGACTCATTCCTGTTATAACATTACATTGTAAATGCATTTGTTTATTCACAAATTAGTCATCAATGCCTTCAAGGAGAAACCCAGTGCCAGTTAATGGGGAGTATGAAATAATCCAGACCTGGACTTCACTGTTACAAACCATATAATCAATGGCAATTGCATTTTCTTGTTTCTGTCTCTAAAGTACACAAGTATGCATCTATTTGCAGAGGAAAACAAGAAAATAAATATAGGAAGACATGCATTTTCCTCAAATGTTCAGTCTACAGAAATTTGTCTTTGATCATACCATATTATGACCTGAGATTAATATCATCTTAGCTAGCCATGTGTCTTTATTCATTCTGTAAGCAAAACAAGTTGGAACTCATGTTCATACATGTTCTGAATAACCCTCCAAACACAGAGAAATTTAAACAGAATCTTTTTTACAAAGAAAAACCTCAAGAGAGATATACTACAGCAGGGTATTGGTATGGTTGTCTGCAATGATGAAGAATAAAATAATTGATGGAAATCTGCTATTATGGTATGATTTCCACATTTCACCTGGATCACTACAGAAAAGGGAAATATAACAAGTCAAATTTAAATTTGCTGTTCTTTACACATCTTATTATGGATGGAAAAGGAAGAAAGGTCAAATCAAACATTTTAATTTTATATTTTTCAGGCCCTGTTCAAAGATTTTCTGAAGTATATTTAATGAAAGAATGTGGAATGATTTTTAATTATATTCTGCGGAGTGGAAGGATTACTTCGGATAAGCCTAGCTCTGATCAGAGCAAATGTGAGAATTTTAAATACTTTCTCTGTTCAGTAGGAAATGGCAAAATAAAACTTAAAATTTATTTTGTTCATGACACATGAAATCATTCAGCAAAAATTTACTGAACATGTACTGTGTGCCAAGTGTAGAATTAAACCAAGTTTCAAACAAGGACACAAGTCAGACTCTAAATGCTGGTGTTTTACCAATATTTCACTGTAGTTTTGTTAAAGCAAAACGCCTCTCCCATCTCAGCACTCAGCTTACACCTCTCTTGTTGCATTTCCTTCATTATTCCTTAAAATATAGTGATTCATGAAAATTTCACTATAAGGAGGCTAAAAGAGTAAACATGTCAGAAGCAGTAGCACCAAAGACCTACTAATAATAATAAAAATAGCTCAAATTTATTGAGCATTTGATACAAGGCAGGCACAGTGATAAGTGCTTTATGTGCATTTATCTCAATGTTACAAAATTATTATGAGGAAGATGATGTTACTATCCCATTTTCAGGATAAAAACACCAAGTCACAGAATGGATAAGTAAAAATAACAGTGGCTAAGTCAGGATTTGAACCTAGACAATCTGGCCCCCAGCCTGCAGTTGTAATCACCAAGCCTTATTATGCTTCAAAATAGAAAAAAAGATAAACAAATTATATCAGTGTTAAAAAGACTAATAAAAATTATCTACTCTCTCTTCTCTCTGATTTCCAAATCAAGAGAAATCAACTGGAGTGCTACCTCCTGCACTCAGTCCCAGCAAGCAGTCATTGTTTCCTTTTCTGGATTTTCCCATTGTCCCATGTATGGATCTCTCTTTACACTTGCAACCTGGAATATAGTACTCTATGAAACATGGGCCAAGATCTCATATAACAGTGGTATCATCTCTCAAGACCATATATGTCTTTGCATCCCACACAATGCCATACATATAGTATAAACTTAATATTTCTAAAAACCATTCAAATCTCCTTAAATTTCTGTATGTAACTAAGTATTTGCTTAGAACTGTAAAAGCATATTAGCTATTCTACACTAGACAGATTAAGGATCCTAAAACAATGAAATCTGGATAGATTTCTCATCCCTATCTCCCAATCTGAGAAAACTTTAATAATAACAGCAAAATCAGCCATTCTAATTCTAGTACTTACCATGCATTTTAATCTTTAATTTTTCAAGCACTTAAAATTTATCACTTTGTTTAATCTTTATTACAACTCTATGAAGTAATTTTTTTTCCAGTTTACAGGTAAGGAAAATTAGACCCAAAAAGGCTAAATTACTTATTTAAAGTCACTCAGATAGTAACTGGCAAAGCTAGTATTAAACCAAGTTCTTTTTATTCTAAAGCCTGCACCTTTTCTAGTTCATCTGTCACTCAACAGACTCATGTGGTTCTTATTTCTATGCTGCCATACACTACTCATACACAGATTTTGTAGACACACTATGAGATTTTTGTGAATTTCTCTAATGTGGAGGCAACATGGTTGTAATTAAGAGCTCAGACACTGGCAATCACACAAACCTGGGTTTGAATACCATGTCTACCACTAACAAGCTAGATATCTTTGGGCAAGTTAATTATCTTCTCTGAGTTTCAATTTCCTCTGTTAAAGAGGATGAAAACTCGTATCTCACAGTTATTGTGAGGAAAAATGTGTCGAAATATATAGAAAGCCTTGGAAGTACTCAGCAAAGAGTACTTGTCTTTGCTACCCCAGCAACAGCCCTGCCTGTTTTTCATAATTATGCCAAGTGTTGATATGCTGTCATTGTTGGTTTTTTTTCTTTTTTCAATAACAAGGAGGTGAAAGAGTACTGGTAATTGTCAATTCTTTCAAGCTAATGGCAAAAAAAAAAAAAGAAAAGAAAAAAAGATAATCAACGCTGGTAAATGGGAAAGTAGAGACACTATTGAGGTAATTTCCCACCAGGAAGCAGAAAGAACAAAGGTCACTTCTAAATCAACCTACATGCCATAGCTGGTAAAAGAAGCCAGAAATTACATTATAAACCTATACTCACACTATACTCAGGTCCAGTTTAAAAAAAAAAAAAAAACGGAATGTTTTTAGGGAGTGCTTCAGATTTCCCTAGTTCAAATTGAATTTGAATTGAGACAGGGGCCTTGACATCTTCAAAAAGAAATGCAGCTTTTCTCTCTACTGAAGGGGGAAAAAAGTCTGGGTCCTAGGAAGCTTACTTCCTTGGAATTTAATTATGTATGGTATTCCTAATTGGTTTACAAAACCAATGCAAATGGAACAAATACAAATAGGAGCATGGCATCACAATAGTCCCTGCTCACTGATTTTAACCCATTTATAGCACTGTGCTCAGAAGAAATTTTGGCTCACTCTTTACAGCCACTCCCTGCTATCTTGAATTCCAAGTCAAGAGACAATTTAAGGACTAGCTTTACTCAAAGTAGGATTTGCTGATCAAAGTCATTTCTAGGTAGGAATTGTAAAATCTACATATATGACAAAAATCTAAAGCTGACCAAGTGGGACCACTTTGGGTTTTAAGAACTGTTTAACTTGTCAGACAAACTACACCCTCAAGCAAATAGTTTTCCCATTTGGTGCCCCAGCATTGAGGAAGTTGGAGATACTCTCCAGAGGCCCTTTGAGTTTCAAAAGTTTCCATTCTAAGGTGATGGGAAAGCTGCATTCTGTTTAGTGTCTGCACAAGCTGTAAGGCATGTTGTGGAGTTTAAGGGAATAACAACTGGTCTTCATCCTTTACAATATCCCTTCATGCTAGTAAAATATGTCTTCATGGTTAATTCTATTGACATAGAGAAAGGCCAGAAATCTTCAAATTTCATCAGTTCCATAGCAAACCTAATTTTGCCCATACAGGTATAATTGCTTAATATCAGGGATGCATGCAAATGATTCAAGTAATCATTTGTTATGATTTGTATTTTATCAAATATATTGGTTGAAAATGAAGCAATGACACAGTGAATGAAATTTAATTTTAACAAGGTGCATGCACTATCATGAGAACAAGAATTAGAAGGTCATATTTCAATATATAGCTATTGTTCCTATCTCTATGAGGCAAGTTATCAAAATAAGTATTCTATTTTCTCAGGGTGCCAAATATTTTCATTACTTCAAACAAAAGTAAATTCGCCCAAGGGTTGATGTTTTTTTAAAGTTACCATTGCACATATAATTGGGTGAAAATATTGCCAAAAATCAGCTTGTGCATTTAAACTTATAGTATCCTTTGTGAAAATTAAGAGAATTTTTACTCTAATAAAATTTAAAACATGTCATTAAGGAAATAATAGATGACATAAAACAGGGAGAAGTTAATCTATAAGAGAATCAGGGTCAAAAAGATCTTGACAGAAACACTGAATAAATTCTAATGAAAAGAATCAAATCAGAATAAATGTAAAACCCTGCACACAGATACAAAGAGTCCTCTGTACAGAGCAGGATCAAGGAAGGCTTGATTTAGCAGTGGGTAAAAAAAGACTTGATATTTCAGTAGCTGGAAGATCAATATGATTTAACAGATCCCCTCCCACAAAAATGAGTGAGATCTTCATACAGATTTGAAGAATTTCAATAAATAAAACTATATTTGATGGGGAATCCACTGCTTGACATATCATACACACACATGCATCTGTGTTCACACACACACATACAAAAGTAAGGAAACTTAAAAGCTCACTGGATCTAGTTTTGCCTACTTGTTCACTGTTATCTCATGTGACATATCCACAGAGATCCTTCACTCAAAATATATTGACCAACTAACAATTGCCCCAAATGTTTTTTGTTTTCCCACCATCATTCCCAATTCTGATTTTTGCTAGCACATCACCTTTTGTAAATATTTTCTAACATTTCCCTCCATGCTTCAGGCTGAGATTGTGACCTGTCAGCACCCTAAGTTTACCTCCACTATAACACTTATTAAACTGTTATTGGATTTTTTTCTTTCTTACCTAGAGCTCTTTCAGAGCAGGCATCATGTCCTATTCATCTTACTATCTGCTGCATCTAGTACAGTGACTGATACATAGCAGGTGCTAGACAAAATACTTTTGTAAACATTTAAATTATAAATGAACAGATAAAAGAAATTGAGCTGTTCCACCTAAGAATTTCCCTAGAAGAATTGCAGGGGCTGAAACACAGTAGCTACCTTTAAGTATTTCAGCCTGTCATGGGAAAAGGAACTGAACTTATTTCCTTCAGCTATTGAGAACAAATAAGAACCAGTATGTAAAAGTTATAAAAAGATATGGAGTGCTAACCTCCATATACACATTTTCCAACAAAAATAGAATGTTTCCTTAGATTATAATAAGTTTTCCATCCATAGAAGGGAACAAGCACAGAGTGGACTTTTAAAGGGCATGGGAGAATATATTCAAGTATTATGCAGAGTTAAGAGTTTAACTTCCTCTAGCTTCTATAACTCTGGATTTTTAGAGCTCTAGACTAAGGATCAAATCAATTGGATTCTGGTTCTGATTCTGCTAGCTGGATGATCTTGTTAAAATTTTTAACACAGATTCCTTATCTGTTAAATGATAGGGTTGGGCTAGAATGTTTCCTCCACTTTAAAAAGTTATGGAGTAAATAATACTTTACAGTTATACAGAATTTATACTTTATAGAATATATTCCCATTTTCTCTCATTTGATCCTTGTAATATCCCTGAGGGTTGGTGGGAAGGTGTTGCTAGTCCAATTGACAAATTAGAAAAATATGGCCCAGAAAAATTAGGTGATTCGCCCAAGATTGAATTTTTTCCAAAACAGCACAATGAATTTTAAATTGAGGCTTTATGGTCAGTTTAATAATCTTCTTTTTGAAATTCAGACATCCATTCTAACATCCGTGGAAGGAAACCAAATCCACAATGGCATGTTTTCATTTACCATTAGCAAAAATAATTATGAAATTCCTGGACAAATTCAGGCATGCCTTTATGAGTACAAACTTCTGAAGCTAGTTGAAACGTCCCACCCAAACCACATAGTCCCAGCCTGTTATCTCATTGAGCAAATAAAAACTTGAATAAAAGGAGGTTAAAAACCTAAATGAAAGCAAGAAAAGAAATGGGGTTAAGCCTGTTGCTCAAGACCTGGCCAGGAATCAATATTAGAACTAGTATTTAGGAGTTGTAGCCCAACTCCTACATATTTGACAAAATCCATCATTTATTTCCAACCTATGTCAAAGCACTTGGCTACAGGGAGTTATTTCAGTTTTAAACTTATAGTGTCTTTGAACCATGATAGCAATTCAGAGCTTAAAGAAGTTCATTAGTCTATCTATGGAAAATCCCACTTGTTTTCTCTATAGTGAGAACTCCAGGTAAAGCACAGTGATAACTGTGAGTACAGGGCAAAGAAAAGCACTACCCCAAATCATTTGTTGTTCATTGAACATGTGAATCAATTCATTTTCTTCCAAAAACAGCAGAGCATTTTTGGTCTTCTATAACTATTGAAAATCATAGTTACTATCAAAACTGAATCAATAGAAGTTCATGGTGTTTCTCCAACTGTTTTATTTCACAAGGAATATTTAGTGTGCTGCCAATGTTTCCCTTTGAGGGTCAGTGAAAATTTGTTCTCATTTTGCTTCTTCTGAATATTGAAAAGTGAGCTCCAATGCTACAGCATTTGTCCGGAGGCTATGTTACTGTGACAGGAAACTGGGCATTTTCTCAGGTGATGGAATACCTTCTCTGAGGATATATGCATATCCGTGTTTATAGCAGCACAATTCACAATAGCCAAAACTATGGAACCAGACTTGGTGTCCATCAATGGATAAATGGATAAAGAAAATGTGGTACAGATACACAATGGAATTTTATTCAGCCATAAAGAAGAATGAAATTATGGCATATGCAGGAAAAAATGGATGAAAGTTGAGAATATTATGTTAAGAGAAGTCAGACTCAGAAGATCAAGGGCCATATGTTTTCTCTCATATGTGGAAGCTAGAGAGGAAAAGGAAATAAAAAGGTGGGGGGAATCTTATGAAAATCGAAGGGAGATCATTAGAATAGAGGAAAGGGACCAAGAAGAAAGAGGAGGGGAGGGAAGGGAAAAGGAGAAATACTGAGGAATAATACTGTCCAAATTATATTACATATCTATACAATGATTTTCTTTTTACTTTTTTCTTTTTTTTGAGAGAGAGAATTTTTTAATATATATATTTTAGTTTTTGGTAATTTCTTTAAAAAAGAAACAATGTTTAGGGTATGCCATCAATTGATGATAACAAAGCTCCTCTGGAGTTATCTTATTAACATTCTATTAAAAATATACGTAACTCACAAGAGTCTAAGTAGTTTCTGAATCTTCAAATAGTGCTGTTTCTTGTGACAGCTCCTCCATCAAAGTCAAAAGACAATTGTAATCTACTTTCCAATAAATTCTTCCTTTTGTCATAGTGAATGATTTAGTTTGCTCCTTTGGAAGGGTAACCAATGGGAAAGAGCTATTAGAAAACAGGACAGCTAAAATTCACAAACTTATGCAAATCATTCTAGTTCTGGGAATGGCTCAGATAATGAATCTCCCATCTTGATACATGTAAAATGCAGTAAAAAAATGGCTTCAAAGAAGGGGCCTCTTTGGCTGATTGGCATTACAGTTTTTATAAATATTTTTGCTTCCATCAAGTACAGAAGAAAGTTCAAAGATCTAAAATCTGAACTAATTTAGACTGGTAAATCTTTGAAGTTGCCCAGCAAAAGCTATAGAGATAGATATGGTAAAAATTCCTATTCTGTTCATTGCCAAACCTAACCCAAAACTCAAGATCTGTGTAAAGAATGAGGTCATTTCACGCTGTAACTCAATCCCAGACAAATCTGGCATTCACTTGCAAAGCTCGACTATCATTGGCTTTTTACAATCCCCACTCACATGGTTCCATTTATGCTGCTTTTGCTTGTTGTGTCATGTTTGTTTTGCATGTGATCCTCTGAAGAATTTTCTTAAAGTGAACAAAACAGAACAAGATTGAGAAAAGACTTTTACATATCAAATGAAAATTCTTCTTCATAAAGAATGAAGTGAATATTATTCAATTTTTTAAGAACTTGAAAATTCAAATTCTTCTTAGTATGAGATGGTCACAAATTATCAACTCAGTTTTAACCATTTATTCAATATAAATCCCTTGATGTAGCTAGGCACAATGGCTCATGCCTGCAATCCTAGCAGCTTGAGAGGCTGAGGCAGGAGGATCGTGAGTTCAAAGCCAGCCTCAGCAAAAGCGAGGTGCAAAGCAACTCAGTGAGACCCTGTCTCTAAATAAAATACAAAATAGGGCTGGGATGTGGCTCAGTAGTCAAGTGCTCTGAGTTCAAACTCTGGTACCCCTCAAAAAAAATCCCTTGATGTCTAGGTGCCCTTGAAGTTGTTGGAATTTAATAAACTATGCTTTTGTAACTTTTTAGTTCATATTTTCATGAAATATTTAACAATAGCTTTGCTATAACTACCAAAGTTTTCCACTATGACCCCATTTTAATGAATAAGATATTTTGCAGTATATGTTTTTCATATACAAGTAGTGTTCCTCCATAATTACACAGGAATTGTCCTTTGAATTCATTTTTATGAGGGAAAACTTTATTTGCGTGGAAAAATCTGTAAATTTTATTGTTCAAGGAGCTTTGGACATCATCCTGCATTAAGAATGAAAGAGACCCTAACTATAAAGTTCAACCATCTCATTGCACTTACGAGGGAAGTGAGGCCCAAGAAGGGAAAGCATACGCACATATAATGAAGGGATAAAATACTGAATGCTTAAAAAAGGTTCAATGAATGAATGGATAAATTGAATTATGGATAGATGTACAGGTGGACAGGTAGTGGATGAGTGTGTGAACTGGTTGATTCAAGGATAATATTGGTGGCAGAGTCAGGGATGGAAACTGATTATCCTGGAACTCAATTTCACTTCCTCTATAAAATTCTGCCTCTCTGAGCAAAATTTAAGAATCATATTTAGGTAAATTTTAAATGGATCTGCCAAGATGATCTACCAGAAAACATGTAAGCTTTAAAGCTAGACAGACCTGTGTTTGAATCTCAGGTCTGAGATTCTCAGGTCTGATAATTTTGTGGCCTTCAGAAAGTTAGTTAATTGGGCAAGTTCCATTTTTTAACCTGAAAAGTATGGATTATGAAATCAAAATGAAATTAAATAAAATATCTGTGTAAGGCAACAGGCAAGTACATCAGACCCAGTAGATCTCAATAAATGTTCATGTCTATCCTCTGTGACATTTTGATTTTAATTTATTTTTATTGGTTCTTTTTACTTATATATAACAATAGAATATACTATGATATAATTAAAATCATGGAATAAAATTTGTCCTAATTCAGTCCCTATTATTTCTCCTTTCCTTTCCTTCCTCCACCCCCATTCCCTTCCCTCTACTGATCTTTCTGCTATTCACTCATAATTCAAAAAATTTTTTAATTAGTGTCTTTTGAATGCACATTATAGTTAGATTCACTGTAGTATATTCATATATTTACATAGGAAAGTTAGGTCACATTCATTCAGGAATTTAATTTATAACCTATGAAAATGTTGATGTTATCTCATCTAAATACCATGAAACTTTTTTTACATATGTGGCTCAAATACAGCGTTTCTCAAAGTCTGGTGCCTCAGATCAGCAACGTCAGTCTCACAAGGGAACCTGATAGACATGCCAATTGTTAGGCCCCGCACTAGGTCTACAAGGTCAGAATCTCTTCGGGTGGGGCCCAGAAATTCTTACTATAAAAAATGTTCCCAGTGATTCTGAAATATATTAAAGATTGAGAACCACTAATCAATAGGCATGAAGACCTTTGACTGTTTTTTCTTGAGGTCTTCCCTCAAGATAAAACTTGAGATATTTGATAAAACTTCATATCTATTTGTCATATTGTCAATCCTTAATCCAGGAAGCAACATTAAGTGACCATGGAGATTTAGTTACAGATTTCTAGCAAAACATAAAGAAGTTTACCTGGTTAAAACATTATAAGAATGTCATTCACTGGTAGTGACCCCTCTAAACTGTCTCAACAGTTTTGTGAAGAAGTCATTGTGCATCTTTGATAAAAACCAAAACCTGTGTATTTCTTTAAATTTTACTTTAAATTATAAAATATTCTTTATAATAGTAAAAAAAGACTAGTCAATACTCATATTGGTAATTCAGTCTTGCTTGATTGGATTTTGCTTTATTTAGAGATAGCAAAGTTGATAAGGAGCACATGAACTCAAGGTCATTTGATATGTTTGAAGACAGCCTAGTAGGTTGACCCATAAATCCTTAGTCAGGCAACACTCTGAATGATAGACATAACAACTACAAAGAAATAAACATTTTCTGAAGATGAAACTGACTTTGTAAACTTAAAACTTTAGAGTAATGACAATGCTCTTCCTCCTTTTTGTCAGATTTTGACTCAGGAGCTGGAGATCTAAAGGGTTCAATGATCGTTATAAGATAGAAGATGTAGCTACTAATGATAGTTATAAGATAGAAGATGTAACTACTAAAATGTTTTCAGGAAGCCCATGATGTCAGCAAAAAGTCCTTCATTAGAATCAAAAGAGCCTCAGACCGAAAAATATATGACAAAATTGAAAGAAGAGACAATTCCACAGTAATTGTTGAAGACCCCAGTACCCATCTCAATGGTGAGTCTAATGACCTACCTTCAATAAAGAAACAGTGGGTGGGGGCTGGGGTTATGGTTCAGCAGTAGAGCACTCGCCTCATACATGCAAGGTCCTGGGTTCGATCCTCAGCACCACATAAAAATAAATAAATAAATAAAAGTTATTGTGTACGACTACAAAAAAAAAAAAAAAATATATATATATATATATATATATATATATATATATATATATATATTAAAAAAGAAACAATGGGCTGGGTTTTTGGCTCAGTGGTAGAGTGCTTGCTTCACACACATGAGGCCCTGGGTTTGATCCTCAGCACCACATAAAAATAAATAAATGAAAATAAAAATATTGTGTTCATCTATAACTAAAAAATGTTTTTTAAATTAAAAAACAGTGGCTTAATATCAACAATAGAAGACTTGAACAATATTATTAATCAACTAGATCTAAGACATCTGTAGAACGCTACCCAACAGTAGGCAGAAAAAGAGACTCAGCTATATTGAAGTTCAGTACAATTGTAATTATACCCTGAATATTATTATTATTTCAGCTGCAGCTGCCATAGACCAATTCATCTGGGCCCTAAAACTAAAACAACTGAAGCTTCATATCAGTTGTGAGAGGTAAATTCGTTTTGCTTTTTAATTATATTTCCAGAATGTTTCTATCATGCTAAAATCTAAGCTCTTCCAAGGCAAAAGGTAAAATCCAGCAAACTTTTCAAGGAATTATTAACCATGCATACAATAGATGGCTGAAGTTTGAAGAAAATTCTAAAACTATCAGCATGAGAGGCACAGGGAAAAAAGTGATGAGATAAATTCCTCCTTCATTGGTCTCATGGCCAGCTCTCTCATCCCTCTTTCCCACAAATACATGACATAGGATAATGCTGATCCAATTTTTGGCACCTATATTACAATGAACTTTTGAAGTTCTGAATACATATAAATAAAAGCCCTACACAGTTGAGTCAAGACTGTAGAAGTCATGTCAGAAGGTTTCATGTATTTAGATATGTATACTGTTTGTGATTTATAGATAATTTTGGATGATATATAGACAAACTTTCTTTAATATTATCTAGCACAGAAAGCCCATGATGTCAACAAATATAATGTTTAGGAAAGGATACAATAGATATTTGAATTTTAGAAGAGAATCAATTTAAAGAAAAAAATAGTAAGCAATTAATTATAAAAGTGATAGGATTATGGCAGATGTTAAGAAAGAAATATGAAAATGACCAAAAATTTAAGCTTAAGGAAAACTAACTTTCAATAAAATCCAAACATTAAGAGAACAAGATGTGTATTTATAACCTGAACTCATTGAATTTTATAGTCAATAACAAAATACTGGTGTGTTTATACTGTACTTAATGAATCAGAATTTTTGAACTGGCAGGGAACTACTAATCAAATTGGCAAATGACTTGGAAGGAAAGATTTTAATTTAGAACAAACAGTAGTACTTTGAGAGAGAGAATACACACTTGAATTTGTATCAGTTTCTAAAAGCCCTTGGTTTTAGTGAGTTCAAATGTTTAATTTGATTAGGGTCTCTTATTAGTGTCCTACGTTTTAGGTTAGAACTTAATGTCTAATAAATTTATGTCCCAGACTCAGAAATATTTTATCTCTGCCTGTCTTAGAAACACAGAAATATTCAAAGTGAACCTATACAATGTAGTTTATTCACTCACACATAATAAAATGTAGTATTACCTGGAACAATAGAAGTTTGGGTGACAAGGACCCTGAGCATAGAAGGTCTTCCTCCAGATTTCCTGCAGACTGTATTCTCTTGAATATGTGCTTTACTAAAGAGAATTTAAAAAAAAAAAAGAAGAAAGAAAAAAGTGTTTTTTATCATTGTTTTTTTTTTTTAAGGTTCCAAATAGGACCAGATGTACTGTTACATCTTTGAGTTTGTGTCTTGCCATAATGAAACAAAAGACCAAGGAGAGTTCATAATTTGCCTAATCATCTTTCTAAATCACTTAATTGGGAAGTTAATTATAAGGTTTTGCTATCAGTACTGACACTATTAACAATTTTCCCACTGATTCTCTGGCCAGAGATATGGAAAACACATACATACCACACCTAGATCACACATTATATATGTACGTATAACTATTTATATAATATAAAACATGCACATACTGAGATGTGTAGATATAAATATATCTGAATATATAAATATAAAATATATCTGAAAAGTTCATAACAGTTAATCTTTTTAAATTCCTGAGTGATTTAAAATTTTTCAATTTTCCAAACACTTTTGTATCAGTCATCTCAAACAAATAGCTTAGGATCATTTGAAAGTGGGCAGGAAGCATGAAAAGCTGGCATTGCTTCCCTACATATATAAACCTCATTTTATTTTTGGATGGAGTCACTGTATCAGCAGATTTGTTGGATGGCATAGGCCTAATACATCTAAATTTAACAAATTGTTTTACAGAAGTCTTTCATGATGTCCTATGAACAAAATGATGAAATGTTGAATGAAACAGGTCAGTTAGATATGGAACATTTTTAACACCCATATCCATGAACTGCTAATGAATGTTTCCATCTACCAAGGAAAGATTAGTTGTAACATGTTGTACACAAGACAGACTATAATACTGAGACAGAAATAAATGGTCAGGATGATGAGAGTTAGTCAAAAGCATATCATTTGAGAAATCCCTAAAGGTTATTTCATCTGGAGAAGATTTAAGGAGAATATAGATATATAATAATTTATATATTTAATCTATATTTAAATATATAATTATATCTATATCCTAATATACTATTTACAAATTTGAAGGGTCACTCTATCAAAAATTTTAAACTTAATTAATGTAATACAAATAACAGGATAAAGACAAAGGCGTGAAAATATTCATAAATTTTGACCTAATAAGATTTGACCTCAACATAAGGACGAACCTTCTGGCAATACTAAAATGAGATATCTGGGTAAAAGGTGAGTTCTTTATTCCTGAAGGACTAAATGAGTATTTGTCAGAGAGGATGTCACAGAATGTGAGATTTTTTTAGGTGACCTTTAAGGCTTCCTGAAGTGATTTATTTCATTCATTTCACAAATGTATATTGAACTCCTACTAAGTGCAATATTTATTGAATCCCTACTAAGGAACCATTGTAGGAACTAGAGAAACCATATAGAATAAGACAAATTTCCTGTCCTAATGAGACTATATTATATTGAAAAAAACAGTGAATTTTTTAAAAATAATATAATATCAGTAAAATTGTTAGAAAGAGCAGGAGGGTTGTGGCTCAGTGGTAGAGCACTCACCTAGCATATGCGAGGCTCTGGGTTTGATCCTCAGCACCATTTAAAAATAAATAAAATAAAGGTTTTGTGTCCAACTACAACTAAAAATATTTTTAAAAAATTGTTAGAAAGAAAATAAACTCTTTGAATTATGTACTCCTTATAATTACTGAAATGGAGATCTTTTTATTTAGAGATCAGTAGTATGCCCATTAAACTTATTTCCACAAAGTAATCAGGCCTGAGCTGGGTGAGAGAAAAGATATTGGGAGACACAAATTAACAGTGGTGATTCTCACCAAAGTACATTACAGAATTCTTATAAAAGGCTGCATTAGCAGTGGGAGGTTCATAATCGGTGAAAACTCAAATTTCTTACTTCCTAAGCCAATAAATTTCTCTCTTCCCTCCAGGAGAGCATGGTTTTTAGAATCACAATATTAATGACAAAAGCAATGTGCTAGTTTATGTTCTTCAATCATCATTATAAATTATTGTTTCATAGACTTTGTATAGAACAAAACAAAGTGTAGTCTATGTGAGCATGCAACTAAGTGCTACTATTAAGTCAATCATAAGCAAAATTATTAAGTGAACAGCTTTTGTTCCTGGGTGCAGAGATTGGAAAGAAAGGACAACTTGACCAGACCCTACCTAACAAATCACTAGCTCTCCTATTTGGCAGATCTTTTAAAATATCTTTTTATATCATTTTTTAAATTTCTGCCTTACAAACCCATGCTCCAGCCCAGCGAATCTCTGCACTGAAGACAAGGACAACAAAATTGTGATTTATAAATTGAATACAACAAAGTCAGATATATGTATCTTTATTGTGACAGCTACCCACCCAACTCAATGCTCTGGCAGTATAGAAGCATTTGAGATATGAAAAGGCAAACAAATATTCTTTCTCCAGGAAGCAAATTAGGCCAAAAGCAAACTGTAAAATGAATTGGAAACAGCCATCCTGCCCTGGACCAGTCAGCAAAATGCAAAGCAAAGCCTAAGCACCCTTGGTCACCCCCTCTCCCCTGGGTGGTGAGTCAAAATGAAACATCACCTGATGCAGAAAACAAAGCCAAGTTTAGTCAAGCCTAGAGAGGCATTGCCAAACAGGGGGTGGATGGGGAGTTAAAACAAATATCCAGATGAACGTTCATTCGAAAAGGCAAACAACCAAAACAAATAAACAAATACAAAAGATAATTTTAAAGGATAATAGCAAATTTCCCAATTCTGCTTGAGACAGAGGAATAGGGGCCACACAAGGAGCATTGTCCTGCCTGCCAAACTCTTTAGTACTCATGTAAATCACCCCAAGGCCAGGCCACTTACAAGTGATGATTTCTGAGGAGGGAAAAGACTGGGCAGAGCTCATGTCTCCAGGGTGTGGAAGTTGTTTTCAACTCCTAGTTCCTAAGCACTTAGCTAGGGCGACAGCTGCTCACTGTTGATTCCATATTGGTACAGGACAGAAAGCTGGCCCGAGCAGGGKCATTTGAAGCAGTCTTTGGAGATTACTCTCCACAGGGCCTGTATTAGATTGTGTAATCAGACATGTGGGTGGTGTCTTTCCTCTCCCCTTCCCTGCTCCCTGTTCCAATGCCTTTTACCCTTTCTAGTGATTCCTCTCATCCCAGTGCTCTCCCACAAAAAGAGTCTCTGACTTCATAGCATGCCCCACCCAGGGGCTTCTCTTTGAGAATTTGATATGCAATGCTATATTTGTTTCCTAGGCTGGCCATAACAAATTATCACAAACTACGTGGCTTAAAAACCAGAAATTTTTCTCTCAAAGATCTGGAAGCCTGAAATCCAAAATTAAGGCATCTGCAGAACTAGGTCCCCCCTCAAACACTAGGGAAAATATTTTCCTTGCCTCTTCTAAATTCTGGTAGCTCTTGGAATCCCTTGCCTTGTGTGTGCATCATTCCTATCTCTTCCTCCAACTTCATGTGACTATCTTCCCTATGTATGTCCATGTCTTTGAATAGCAGCCATATAAAGACGCCAGCCATTGGCTTTAGGGCCCACTTTAATTCAGTGTGATTTTAAGTTCACTACTCATACCCTCAAACATGCAATTTCCAAGTAATGTCACATGCTATGGTCCAAGAAGACATGAATTTTTGGAGGACACTATTTAACTCTGTACAGAGGCAATATTTAATGCAAAATAATATATTTTCCTTAGTGAAAGAGGATGTCAAGTGTGAAATGGCAAGTGTGAAACTGAAAGACAGTTTGGGAGACAGGATAGCCATTTGAAGGCCTATATATCCATTCTCAGGCAGACAAGTATACCACCTGAATTGAATTTATTTTTGAAAAAAAAAGAAAATTGAAGTCTTAGTTATTCTGTAAATGTTAATATTTTGGAGATATTAAATTTGCTTTGCTGGATACCTAAGAGTTTGGGGGTCAATGTCAAGTCCTTCTCTCAAGGCATGTGGATCCCATCTTTGTCGCATGCTAGTTACATGACCTTGTGCAACTCATGGTATCCCATGACCTCATTTTCATCTATAAAATAATATTAAAAATAGTTTCTGCTTGATTAATTCATTGTGGAGGTTAAATGGACTAATTCATGTATAGCACCCATAGCCTGCCTAACCCAAAATCAGTCCTTGATATAATTGCTAATACACTTAATAATTTATTGTTATTCTTACTTTTCAAGTTGGGAAAAGGTATAAAATAATCTAAGCGAGGCACAAAGCATTTTACTCATTTAAGCACTCCTTAAATATTTACCGTATATTTACCTTTTAGGACAGTTGTTAACATACTAATTCCCCTGAGCCCAGTACATAACAGTCCACACCTTAGTCATTTTGGGCAATGTTTTATTTCTACTTATTAATTAAAGATGCTTAGGGTCAGAGCCCTGGAAGAGAATGTCCTCCTACATAACATGTCTACTAGCAGGGTTTGAGCCCATGCCTATTAAGATATCCAGGACCCATTTTCCTAATGTTTTAGATGTGATTTTTTTTAGTTTCACATTCTCTGTTGTTTCTCTAATTTAAGAGCACAGGATTTGAAGAAAAATTGCCTGGATGTAAAAACCTACTACTCCTAATTCCTAGCTATACATCCTTAAACAAATAATATAACCTATCTGACCTGCAGTTTTCCCAACTGAAAAATGAATACAATAATTTTGTTTATCTCATAGGTATTGTTTTAGTCATCTTTTTAGTGTTGTGACTGAAAGATCTGAGCAGAACAATTTCAGGGGAGGAAGTTTATTTGGGTGCTCACAGTTTCAGAGGTCTCAGTCCATGGAGAGCAGGCTCCATTCCTTGGGGCTCAAGGTGAGGCTGAACATCATGGTGGAAGAATATGGCATAGGAAAGTGGCTAACAAAAATGAACAGGAAGTAGAGAGAGAAACTCCACTCCCCAGATACAACTATATACTCGAAAGCTACACCCACAGTGCCTACCTCCTCCAGTCACATCCCACCTGCCTCCAGTTACCACTCAGTTAATCCCCATCAGGGATTAATTCACTGATTAGTTTAAGGTTCTCACAACCTAATATTTTCCCCTCTGAACCCTCTCTCATTGTCTCACATGTGAGCTTTTGGGGAACACCACATCTAAAGCATAACAGGTGTATTATGACTATTAGAATAAATAATTCATTTAAAGAACTGAGCACTATTCCTGGAATATGGTAAACTCTTAAAATGATAGCCATTATTGCTGTAATTAATATGGGTACCTGCTTCCCATCAAGTTCTCTGACTTTATATTTAATAGTCTAAGCAAATCTTATTATTTAATCCTCAGAACCTGTGAGTTACTTATTCCCATTTACGTGAAAAGAACCTAAGAATTAGGGAAATCAAGGAACTTAGCCATAGTAATCCATCTAAAAAATGGCAGTTATGAATTTAGAAATAACCCCACACAACATCAGAGCCCAGTACATAACAATCCACACCTTAGTCGTTGTGGGCAATGTTTTATTTCCACTTATTAATAAGACATTAGGAAAATGGGTCCTGGATATCTTAATAGGCCTGGGCTCAAACCCTGCTAGTAGATATGTTATATAGGAGGACATTCTCTTCCAGGGCTCTGACTCTACTAGCAGGGTTTGAGTCCAGGCCTATTTAGATATCCAGGACCCATTTTCCTAATGTCTTAGATGCCCCATAATTTTGCTTATTTCTCCCAATGGGGAAAATTGATGTTTTAAAACTGGAGGGTTTTTGTTTTGTTTTGTTTTGTTTTGTTTTATTGCACTGGGAATTGAATCTAGGGGCACTTGTCCACTGAGCTAAACCTCCATACCTTTTTATTTTCATTTATGTATTTTTGTATGTTGAGACAGGATCTTGATGAGTTGCTTAAGGCCCTACTAAGTTGCTGAGGCTGGCCCTGAACTTGCAATGCTTCTGCCTCAGCCTCCTGAATTGCTGGGGTTACAGTTTGTTCCGCTGCACCCCACTATAAATGGAATTCTACCTGAAATATACTTGGAAAATATTTTAAAACCTGACTAAACAAAGCATAACAGTTTCTCAGGTCACAAAATAGAATACTCACAACATTTTGTACCTTGAATAACTTGTGATCAGAGAATACTCATAGTAAACTACAACGTTAGATAACCTTTCTTGAGGGGTAGGGTTTACCATTTACTAAGGACTTTCAAATAGAAAGGCAGGGTAACCAAAATAATGACAATGGCTACCAAGGTTCTCCTATGTTCCAGGCACTGTGCTAATTGCTATACATACATAATCTTATAAAATATTTACTATCTTATAAGGATTATTATAAGGAAGCTCTATAAGGTAGGTACTACTATTCATTGTCCTCATTTTTTAGACAAAAACCATGGGGCTCAGAAAACTAAGCTATTTTCTCTAGAAAACAAAGCTTACTATTATATAGCACAGAAGAATCTGGAACCTGAAATCATGAGCTCTATAATTCTCCTATATGAGCTCTTAACTACTGTGGTAGAAAAGTGAACCTGCCTTTGAATCTGGCCAGCACTATGACTGGCATAGAGCAGGCATTCAAGTAATAGTGACTGTTATAATCTCTATATATTATCAAAAACAAAATAAAATCAGGTTGGAGGAAGAGGTAAAATAACTTATCAATACATCAGTTAATCAAATAGGCATATGCTGTATTATTCAATATCTGAAATGAAAAGCAAGGAGCAAGGTTTTGTCCTAAGTGTGCTATGTCATTAATGTAGACCAAATACATTTGTGTCTTTCCACAATGTCAGCAATTATTTGAATAACAATAAATTCATAGGCTGCACCACTTTCATCAGTGGCAGTTCACTAAATATTTGTGGGTCACCTCGTAGTCACAAGCTGTGCAATCACAGGTTCTTGTATCCCAATCTAATATCTGTAACATTCAAGTCACACACTTAACGTGTGTGTGTGTGTGTGTGTGTGTGTGTGTGTGTGTGTGTACAAGCGCATTATAGAAGTCTAAGAACGGGTTAATTCAGCCACAGGGGTTAAGAAGGCTAAACTGAGAGAGAAGGCAGGGAACATATATGAATGCAAAGAGTCACTGTAGGTGGTCAGATAAGATTATTATTCAATCAAAGAACTTGTTCAGGGCACAGAGTTACAGGTGTCAAGGCACAGGAACTTATTCTAGGTCAAAGTCCAGAGGGAGAGCAGCAGCTTGGAGTATCAACTTGTGATATCAGCTTTGATTGGAGCTTGCATGATCATCACAGGCACTCAGCTAAAGGATGAGAACAGAGATTTGGAGGTTAATCACTGGGGATTTTCTTGGTCAAGGTTCCTGAAGAATGACCAGGTTGCTACCATGTCCAGTCTCAGGTTGCTCCTCCTTTTATGGATTTCAAGTGAAGAGGTTGCATCATTTGGTGGGCATGGGCTTGTGTGTTCAATAAGCTTATGTACCTCGTTTTTCTGAGATGAGTTTAATATGCTCATGCTTCCATGTGCTTCTGGTTAATTTGATAAATTCACAAGTGGTCATTCTTTTTTTAATATTTTTTTTAGTTGTTGGTGGACCTTTATTTTATTTTTATGTGGTGCTGAGAATTGAACCCAGTGCCTCACAAGCACTCTACCACTGAGGCATAACCCCAGCCCACAAGTGGTCATTCTTATTAGCATGATTCATTTATCAGTTTATGCCTTATGGTGGTACCAGGCAGATAATTTTTTACTTGTACAAACAAGGTATAGAGTCATTCCACCTCAGCACTCAAACTCAAAATGGAGTAGCTTATGGCAAACTACTGCTTTACAAAATGGAGTAACAAGGTTTAGTCACAGCCTGAAAACTGCTGTTTTATACATCACGGAGTAATTCAGAACAGAATGCAGCCTATTTTCCACAGATTTAGATTTAGATACAGGTGAATCCACAATGTAAAGCCTGACTGTCTCACCAGAACTAGTTTTATGTTAAAATGCCTCTTCAAC